GTGTAATACCCCCGTACCTAGTAAATTCACGCAATCGACTTTTGTACAAAGTCTCTTTCTGGTAAAAGTAAGGGATGAGTAAAAGATGAGGTCTGGTCAATGGGTTTGACACGGTGAATTTATTAGGAATTAATTACAATTGTTATCATGGGGGAACAAGCTCCCTAGTGTTGCAGACGTCTATAGGTTACAATGACCGATTACGATTAGATGGGCTATATGCTGTACGTATACCAGAGGGAGATTTTGTACAAAAGTAGTTTGCTTAGGTACCTCTGTCCCATTCGTGTTTCTATCGGGAAGCAGTTGTGTTTGCATGGCTGTGTTTCGGTTCGAAGGGTGGGATATGGCAGAGAATTTACAGGGTACAGAGGAATAACATCCGAGTTCTCAGGAATGGCAACGCATGTGAGGTATCATGGGCGTAACAGTATACTCTGTTATGTCCATGGTACTGCTTATGTCTATAGGTGTCGGTTACCACTTTCCATCAGGTTGGCCGTCAGCTTATTTACCGTTCTAAGTTGCATAAAAAAGTGCTTGTTTACCATCTTATTATAGACTTTTGTCAGACAGAAAAATCTGTAATACTGCGATCTCTGTGATCTATTGTGCTCGCCCAATTTTAAAGTTCGTGGCTAATTCCTGTCAGTAATAAGAATTTTAAGACGTTCTTAGTAACAATGTCTTTTATTTCTTCAGGAAATGAAGTAATTTTCCAAAGAAAATATATCGTTTCTGTATGAGAGGCCTGGGCAAACTGTGTAGATTGTGCGGTGAGAAATCGGAATCCATGGAACACTTGATGTGCACCTGCGATTCGTTGGCAAGTATGCGTATGAGTCTACTGGGAACGGCTTACCCAGAGCCAGGGGACTACAGATATCTTAAACCGCGGAATATCGTTAAGGTAACAAATAAGACCTACAAAATGATGATATAACCGACGGCGAAGCACAAATGATCCCGATGAGTCGACGTGCAATGGCTTAGCTGACCCCATACGGGAATAAAAAATAAGATAAGTGGGTTGCAGATACAAATTAGTTTTTGTGTTGCTTTTAAATTAATTTCTTTTGTGATGTATTACAATAAAATTTGCATAGGTATATTAAGCAATACTTTATGTGAATGGCCACACTGAAGCGAACCGGTTTCGCTCACGCGATGATGCAGTATTTCTTATAGCAAAAAAGGTAACTTGTTAAAGTTAATCCTTATTTAATAGTATTTATGTTATACTATGACGAGTATATATGGTCTAATACATGTAAACCGGGGGGAAAGGGATTGTTAGTAATGGAAACTGAGAATCCCATTGCTAGCAATATACCCAACCAGGTCGATCTCCTCGCGGTTCTTCCTGGACACTATCATGGTTAATTCCTGATGAATTCATCATGATGGGCTAACTGGCCTGTTTTCATTCTCATCTATCACCCTTCACTGGTGCTCCGACAGCGTATCCCGTTAGCGCAGGCGGGGTTACCATACCATTTTCACCAATCAATTACATGTAAACCTCTATTTATCTTACTTTATTACACCACGTCTTTCTATTCATGTGTGATAACATCGCCTACCTAATACCTTTATTATTAGTGTATTTCTATCTTATCGATGGTTAACTGTCCACTGCTGAAGATAGGTCTCTCCCATTAGGGGTGGGGGTGGGGGCTTGCCAGTAGTTACCACTTTTGGCATTTGGGTTGGCAATCGCATTTAGTCTTTGGCGATGATCTAAAAGAGACGTTGCTGCCCAACCTTCGATCAGTAAGTTTCCTTAGTCGCCTCTTACTACACCCACGCGAAAGGAAGAGGTGGCACAATCTATGCCGGGACCAGACGGCATTCTTACTAATATTATAAATGTGAAAGTTTGTTTGTTATAATGCCTTAAGGGCTCAACCAATGATTACGAAATTTGGTATATATGTATTATGTGGAATAGAGAAAGGTATAGGATACTTTTATCCTGGACAGTTAGCATATCCCGGTCACGCGGATAAAGTCACAGGCGCAAACTAGTGATTTAATAATAAGTCCCATATAATTAACAAATCGTTTGATCCACAAACTAGTATACTCTGGTAGGTAGACAGAGAAATAACTATATGGGACAGATAAAGGAAACACTAGGTGTCATGTCGTATAGGGAGGTCAAAGATATGGCCTGGAATAGAGCTGGCTGGAAGACAATGAATTAGTTGCACCGATAAGAGGAAATATATATATATATATATATATATATATATATATATATATATATATATATATATATAAATAGAAAGGCTTTGAGGAAAAAAATTGAGGGTACGACCCAGAACACTCAGACCTGAGCCAATTCATCGAGTTAAGTTCGTTTCCTAAATTGGTAAGATTGGGAATCAAATTCGGTACCTCAATTGCAAAGCAATGTGCTAATCACTGCGTCAGTAAAGACAGAAATGTTTAGCACAAGATTCACTCTGCCTATCCTGTGTGAACTTGGCGTTAAGATAAATAATAACAAGCAATTAACAATATGGATTTTGTTGTGTTCTATTGCATAAGAAAAATAGCACATTACGTGGCTATATTTAGTTTTCCTTGAAGCTTGTATGAAAGTGTGACTAATAAAATGAATCAATGCGTAAAGATGTAATATTGTTACCAGCTTGTAGGTATATGATTACAAATTTCAATAAATGAGTCGTGTAGGTATATAGCTAAGTGGTAGATTAGTCATCTGCAGAGCAACCGGTCCTCGGTTCAATCCTGGACCCCTTGTTTTTTTATTATTTTTAATTAATCTACCACTGCTTATGCAATGTCTGTTTACTATTATGATATGGTTCGATTAAAAACTTTATTAGAAGAAATTTGGACATCAAAATGATGTCAGCATTTTATTTTGGAATTGTTTTAACGCAGGGTTAATGTTATTTTCTGGGAGACAATATGATATTATGATATTTTTTAACCTTCTTAGCAACTATTCAACAATGCTTATCGATAATTTCAACTCATTGTTCATATGGGGGTATAGCTCAGTGGTAGAGCATTCGACTGCAGATCGAGAGGTCCCCGGTTCAAACCCGGGTGCCCCCTCTCGCTTTTTTGTTATTATACTTTTAATAATAAATTTTTATGTTTATAATTATATTTTTAGTTTTTTTTTAATATTTATACTTTACGTTTACAGATTTGTTTGCACCTAATAAAAAAATACTGCAAAAGAACATTAACATAGTGATTGCTGAGTGCTATAGGAAACACAGTATAATAGTTGTAATATAGAGTTTTTTTTTTTATATATGCCAGTTTCTTTGGAATTCCTAATAAGTAATAACATGTTATAAAAACAGGTTGCCAAAATTCACAAATATTTTGTGATCATTTATATATCTACCTATGTATATTTTATCATAATAAAATAAATCAACCCTATCGCGTTATTTTTATAAACATGATATGAAGAAGGACATGGTACGAAAAAGGATATAATATTATTAAGGAAATACTATTTTCAAAAACAAAAATTTATTTTCAGCTGAATTCAAAAAGAAGGGTGTCCTAAATTCGGTTGTATTTTTTTTTATATATTTATCACCTCAGAACTCCGTCAGTTCTAAACTGATTTCGAAAATTATTTTTTTATCTGTAAGAATGTACTTATAGGATGGTCCTATAGAAATTTTATAAAAATTAGTAGTTTAGTTTTTAAATTAAAATAATTGGTTTTATCACAATTAGTCTTTTTTATTGTGCGATACAATCTTTAATTATTATAGTTTACGTATAAACTATTTTGTTATAAATTTCTGACTTAGTTCAATTATAAATTTAGTTTATATATCCTTATCATATTAATTGGGCTATGATATTAAGGGATATTTTTATTTTAAAAATACATAACAGAACTGGCAAGAATTTTAATAAGAAGATTATAAAAAAGTTTAAAAAATAAACAGTGAAAATTGTTCAATTCTTTTTGAAATTTACCAATTTGATGTTGGTTCATGAACGATTCATCAACTTTATTTAAATAGACTTGTTAACAAGCACTTTTTTTTTAAATCTACTGCATAGTTCAGAAGTTGTTATCTATTGAGAAGAGCTTGCAAGAAACTCAACAGTTACACTTTTAAATCTCTGTTAATATTATGTGTATCTATTTAAATGTATTATGTCTAAAATTACATGGTCATTAAAAAGTCCATACATAATCGACTAACACCATACACGCTTTTTTTTTTAACGTCTGGAAAATGCTTTATGCAGACCCATACACCTTGTGGGAGGTGAATGGGTACTGTGGGAATCCCCCCGTAAGGTGAGGGTGTACCCACCAAAAACCAGACGATATACCCTCGAGGTGCCATATGTCGGAGACATGGGGACACCACATCTCCAATGGCAGCAACCCGCCCCCTGATGGTAAGAGCAGGTCTCCTCTCTCAAGACAGGGGGATGGCATGCTCACCCTACCACTCGGAGGATGCGCCGGTATATTAGCACATCCCCCAGGAACATCATGCACGCCTGTCATTCAAGTAATCATTTAGAGTATAATAGGCTTTGTTCAATAAGTGTTTTTATTAACAGTTTAAAATTCATTAAAAGGGTACAAAGTCGATTGCTTGGGTACCTCTGTCCCATTCGTGTTTCAACAATAAAGCAGTTGTGTTTCGGTTTGAAGGGTGGGATATGGCGTGAATTTACTGGGTACGGAGGAATAACACCCGAGTCCTCAGGAATGGCAACGTATGGGGGGTATCATGAACGAAACAGTATACTCTGTTATGTCCATGGTACTGCTCATGTCTATAGGCGACGGTTACCACTTTCCACCAGGTGGGCCGTTAGCTTGTTTGCCATTCTAAGTTGTATAAAAAAACGGTAGATCCGAAATATCCTAATCGAAGTATTAACTCAATGCATGAGTTTATAAACATGTGTGACCTTGAGTGGACGTTACACAAGCAAGATATGATGATAAAAATAGAGCATCAGCTCACCTGATCAGTGACGGTGGGGTCAGCGCCCCGAGCCAGGAGCAGTTCCACAATTTGTGTGGCATCAGCAGCGCACGCGGCGTGCAGCGCTGACGAGCCAACCTGTGCCAAAAGGGGGAAAGGGATTGTTACTAATGGAGACTGAGAATCCCATTGCTAGCAATATACCCAACCAGGTCGACACCCTCGTGGTTCCTCCTGGAAACTATCATGGTTAATTCCTGATGAGTTCATCATGATGGGCTAACTGACCTGTTTTTATTCTCATCTATCATCCTTCACTGGTGCTCCGCCAGCGTATCCCGTTAGTGCAGGCGGGGTTACTATACCATTTTCACCCATCAAAAAAAACCTGTGCTAGAAAGTCGTTACTGTATTATCACCAGAACCCTAAAGTTTCCGTTCCTTCGGTTTCGTTAAAATGTTTACCGATTTGTCAAATTAAATATTTGACAAATCGGTAGTTTTTTTGCACAAACAAAAAAACGTATCTACTCGAGTTGTGGCAAAACCGGTTATTTTGATTTAAAAACTAAACTACTAAACCGATTTTGATAAAATTTGTATGGAAACCATATTATAACTAATTTGTAAGTATATCCTTACAGATACAAAAAGAATTTTCCAAATCGATTTACAACTGATGGAGTTACTCGTATATGGTAACAAATATTAAAAAAAACAACTGAATTGAAAACCTTGTTTTTTGAAGTCGGTTGAAAAGAAGGAGTTTTTCAATTCGATTGTTTTTTAATATTTACTTTACCTTTAAACTCTGTCATTTATGAACTGTGATGACACAAATACACGCGAGCACACACACAAATACATGTGCACATACACACACACTCACACACAAAACAGACAATTATTTGTACATATATATATAGATATTTCGAGATAGCAAACAAGCTAATGGCCCGCCTAAGGAAAAGTGTTGCTTATTGCCTACAGAAATGAACAGCACCATCTAGATTTGAGAATACACTGTAACGCCTATGGCCTCCTTTACGTGTTTTCATTACACACCAAACAACTAAAGAAAACACAGCCATATAAACAAAACCGCTTCACGGAAGAAACACGACTTCTGTACATATTATCCCTGTGGTATTTGTGAATTTGGGTAATTTGAAGAAATTCAGCAGTTCTGACAGGGACTCGACCCTGGGTTCCCGGAACCCTCACACGTACCGCCTACACACCTACTGCCCTGACGCTGCTACTGTATCGTTTTATTTGACGTTATCACCTACACATACCGAAGGGAATAAATTTTCTTTTTTTAGGACAATATTTTAATAAGTTTCCACGAAATATTTCCAAACGCACTGTTCCCGTTTCTAAAATATATGTATTATTAAATAATAAAGTATACAAATACGTAAAAATAAAAAAGAGCTCTCTTCAAGGTCGGCAACGCGCGAGTAATACCTCTGGTATTGCAGCCGTACATAGGCTACGGTAACCGCTTACCATCAGATGGGCTGTATACTTGTTTGCCACCTCAATGGTATTAAAAAAAACATAATTACAAATAAAAGTATAACTATATTGAAGTAGGGGGGAAGGGATTGTTAGCAATGGAGTTTGACAGCCCCATTGCTAGCAATATCAGGTCAACCTCCGCGTGGTTCCCCCTGGAAACCATCGTGAACAATTCTCGTTGAATTCGTCACGATGGGCTAACTGACTTGTTTCATCCTCGACTATCATCCTTCATTGGTGCCCTATCAGCGTATACCGATAGCGCGGGTTGGGTTACTATTTCATTATCACCTATAAAAAAACTATATTGAAGTAACATCCATTTTGTAACAAGTGGTTGGTACTCTTACGTAGATAGTCTCTTAGTTAAATTAGTTCTAAAAGTAAGCTTAGGAAGTATCAGGTGGGCCGTATGTTTGTTTGTCACCTCAGTGCTATAAAAAAACGTACTCCATACTCATGTAGGTTTACTATCTATTCTATCTTGAATTACTCGTATATTTTAATAATTACATTGTTAGTACAAAAGTCGATTGCTTGGGTACCTCTGTTCCATTCGTGTTTCAACCGTGAAGCAGCTGTGTTTGCATGGCTGTGTTTCGGTTTGAAGGGCGTGAATTTACTGGGTACAGAGGAATAACACCTGAGTCCACAGGAATGGCAACGCATTGGGGGTATCATGGGCGAAACAGTATACTCTATCAATAGTATTATATTATCTGTGACTCTATTATGTCCATGGTACTGCTCATGTCTATAGGCGACGGTTAGCACTTTCCATCAGGTGGGCCGTCGGCTTGTTTGCCATTCTAAGTTGTATAAAAAAAAACTTACAGTTTTTCTTTGTATATTGTTTTATAATATTATTTACTAGTTGTATCCCGCGGCTTTGTCCGTAATCAGTGTGAATTAAGTATATAAAGTATCCTATGTGCTAAATTAGGATATAACCTATCTGTGTACTAAATTGCATTCAAATCCGATCAGTAAGTTTGGCGTGAAAGAGTGAATGTAAATGTAAATTGGACTCTATTTTCCGCGCTTAGCCTCTCATTTGGGCTGTTGTGCGTATGAGTCGTGGCTAGTACAGTAAGCCCGGCTTCGCACAGAAGCACAGAAGCTTTCTGGGATCTTCACAGGCTTTATGAAGCGACCTGCGTGAAAGAGTAATAAACATTCATCCATACATACAAACTTTTGTATTTATAATATTAATATTATTATTACAATTATACGAATAATTTATTTTTAAAGAAAGAAAGAAAAATAATTTATTTAGTGAAATATGTCACTGTCATAGTCGTAGAATACTGACGGATCTGACAAATATTACATATAAAGATCCGTCGGTATTCTACGACTATGACGATATATACATAGATATAACAAAAGCTAAATAAAAAAAAACAAATTCTATTCATTGAAAAGGCTGTTATATATATTAAAATTGCAAAATAATGTAGGGATTCCAATTATACTGTATCCTTTTGGAGCAGACAATAAACAGTATCTATCTATCTGTACAATAAAAAATAATATTTTATTTATTAACTGTAACAGAATGATTGTCTCATTGATGTCATTTATCCTATATTCTCTTGTTTGTATTCTCAAACTGCCGTGTGGTCCCGGCATAGCATGGACCACCACTTCCTTTCCCGTGGGTGTCGTAAGAGGCGACTAAAATGAACTTAACAGTCGAGGGACAGGCAGCAGCATCCTTCTTAAAACATTATCAAAAGCTTAACTGTGGTCGTCAACCCAACCAAGTGTGGCAATTATTGGCAAACCCCCTCTTAAGGGGGGGAGGCTTATGTCCAACACTGGAGAGTTAATGGCTGATATAATGATGATGATAATGATTTTAAAGTATTCTTTTGGAATTCTATTTCTGCTTATTTAAGAGAGTATCTAGTATATTTTTCTCGACTTAACTTTTCTAATTGGTTTGCGGATTAAAAGAAAAAACAAAGATTAACTGAAATAAGGTAATTAAAAAAATATAAAAAAAAATAATAATAAAAAAAGAAGTTAATATTATTTAACAAACCTTACATTGTTTTGTAAGTGTACGTTGGCTCCGAACTCGAGAAGATGTTCCACGATGCCGTGACAACCCTGGGCGCACGCCATTTGCAAAGCGGTTACGCCATTCTGAGGAAAAAAAAATATTAAAGTAATGCTCCGTAATATAGTTGAATATCAGCTGTTAATACTGTAATATATGTGCATATATATGCAAAGGGTGTCATGGGCGAAACAGTATACTCTGTTATGTCCATACTCATGTCTATAGGCGACGGTTCCTACTTTCCATCAGGTGGGCCGTCAGCTTGTTAGCCATTCTAAGTCGTATAAAAAAAAGCTAAATTATGTGGTTATGTTTCATTTTGAAGGGTGGGATATGGCAGTGAATTTACAGGGTACAGAGGAATAACACCTGAGTCCTCAGGAATAGCAACGCATGGGAGATATCATGGGCGAAATATTGTACTCTGTTATGTCCACGGTACTGCTCATGTCTATAGGCGACGTTTACTCTTCTTCATCAGGTGGACGGTCAGGTTATTTGCCATTCTAAGCTGCATAAAAAAAAAAACAAAAAATATAATGACCTAATCCTACAAACCTATTTTAGTTACTGAAACGTTTTGTCACTTTCGTTCAAATTGGGAATTTAGTGTAAAAGAAAGAGACAAAACAGTTTAATAGCTAAAATAGGTTTATAAGAAATGTAACAGTAATTATGAATAAGGGGGTAAAACCATATTTTCAACCGACTTAAAAAAGAAGAAGGTTCTCGATTCGGTTGCATATGTTTTATATTTGTTAACTCATAACTCCGTCAGTTCAAAACCGATTAGGAAAAAAAAATTTTTATCTGGAAAGAAATATTTACAGATAAGTCCCCTAGAGATAATTAAAAAATATTGAAACTAAAAGTCGCATTGAAATTAATGTAATATACAATTCGGTATTGCCAATATCATAAGACAGGGGGGAAAGGGATTGTTAGTAATAGAGACTGAGAATCCCATTGTACCTAACCAGGCCGACCTCCTCGCGGTTCCCCCTGGAAACTATAATCGTTAATTCCTGATGAATTCATCATGATGGGCTAACTGGCCTGTTTTCATTCTCATCGATCACTCTTCACTGGTGCTCCGTCAGCGTATCCCGTTAGCGCAGGCGGGGATACCATACTATTTTCACCCATTGAAAAAAAAAGTCTATGGTACTTATTTCCATATATATAAACATTTATGTTTATACAAATATAAAAAAAAAACCTAACGTGATAAAATATAAATATTTAATCACGTTCCGCGGATGGTTATGTTGTTTCCGATAGCATGATTCATACAGATAAAAGTGTAAATACAATAGATACAGAAATTTAAAATGTATAACGTAACTATTTGAAACGGTAAAATATTATTCGTTTTTTATTTATGCAGAAGTTTTAATGGTCCCGGTGAGTCGAGAGTCGAGTGTCGACGCCGAGTGTCGACGCCGAGTGTGACGCTGAGTGTCGATGCCGAGTGTCGTCAGTTGCAATGACTGCAAATAGATGTTTATTGAAGCAAAACTTTGATAGATAACGAAACTCATTTAAGTTTATATTCTTTATTGCATATTTAAATTGCTAGATAATACACACATTTATCAGAGGAAGACTTTGTACAAACGTCGTTTGCTTCGACACCTGTTCCATTCCTGTTTCTACCGTGAAGCAGTTGTGTTTGCATGGCTGTGTTTCAGTTTGAAGGGTGGGATATGGCAGTGAATTTACAGGGTACAAAAAAATAATAGTCCTCAGGAATGGCAACGCATGAGTGATATCATGGGCGAAACAGTATACTCTGTTATGTGCATGGTACTGCTCATGTCTATAGGCGACGGTTACCACTTTCCATCAGGTGGGCCGTCAGCTTGATTGCGATTCTAAGTTGTATAAAAAAAATATATAAATATTGTGAACAATTTATTTGTTTAAAAAAAAATAATTTCCGCTTTCACATAAAAAGAATATATTAGTAGATGGTGTATTATTGTTAATATTTGCTTTACTATGTCTATTTTCATTATTTGTTTCATTAATTTTACTAATATAACAAAATGGTAACTAGATATCTGTACGTCCATGTACAGATATCTCCCAAGATTTTTAAGAAAAAATAAATTAATATTTTTTGTATTTAGTATTTTTTGTATGTAGTCTTAATAAGATCAATAGAAGTCAATATAATTAATTTAGGAATTTTGTCTGTCTGTCTGTGTCTGTTGGTTTGTATATACATACGTAACACTATTGAATGCGATTTCCATTGATGTATTCCTGAAGGTCTAACTTAGAATCTGGTGTATGTTTTATCTTGACATGCCATCTAGTAGTATATATTTCAATACTTTTCTTGCTTCAAAAATTCACGTGTACGAGATAGCGGGCAAAAAGCTAGCGAGTGAATAAATGAATGTTGAATTGGAAACTTATTGTTAATATGTTTGAAGAAGAAATAAAATAAAAAGAAGAGAAAATGAAAGATTTTATTGTATAAATGTGGCGTAGTTGTACTAGGCTATCATAAGCTTACATTATCAGTCGCGTCGACGTGGCACTGCGATTCTAGCAGCACCCTCACTAGCTCTGTATGTCGGTGTACAGCTGCCAAGTGAAGCGGAGTTCGGCCCGAGTTGTCTCTGGCTTCTCTCGATGCCCCCTTGTCTATTAGGAGAGCAGCAGTTGTGCAGTGGCCACCTTCGCACGCAACATGTAGGGCTGTCCGTCCGACCTGTTGGTGAAATGATTTTTTTTAATAATTATTTGGCGTTTTCATTCTTAGGAACACATAAAAAAAGAGAGGTGTCGTTATTGGATTGGTGTAGAAGTACAAAATATAGTATATATAGTTCAGTAAAATATTTATAAAATAATATAAAATATATATTATATAATACTTTCGTGTATTAAAAGGGGGAAGGAGGGGAGGAAGGGATGACACTGGGCAAAATCGTATTTTGCAGAGTCGAATTAGCCTAAAAATTACTGTTTTTTTATTAACTTAAAGTGGCAAAGAAGCTGACGGCTCACCTGATGGAAAGTAGTAACTGTCACCTATAGACATGAGCAGTACCATGGACATAACAGAGTATACAGTTTCGCCACGCCAGTTGACCATTCCTGAGGACTTAGGTGTTATTCCTCTGTACCCTGTAAATTCACTGCCATATCCCACCCTTCAAACCGAGACACAGCCATGCAAACACAACTGCTTCACGGTAGAAACACGAATGGGACAGAGGTAGTCAAGCAAACGACTTTTGTACAAAGTCTGTCTTTGGTTATTTTATGGTCAAAAAGTTTCTAAATTTAAATTATTTTCACTGAAATTCCGTTGCCTTTTTTGTATTATATATAATCTAATATTTATCTATTAATTAATTTTATTTATAGTTTGATTTAGACTTGATTTAATTTGATTTGATTTAATAAGTTGGAGAGGAATTTTGATTACATTACAAGAACTAAGTTATTTGAAATACTTCCTAAGCTTACTTTTAGAACTAATTTAACTAAGAGACTATCTACGTAAGAGTACCAACCACTCGTTACAAAATGGATGTTACTTCAATATAGTTATACTAATCTAGTTATACTTTTATTTGAAATTATGTTTTTCTTTATACCACCGAGGTGGCAAACAAGCATACGGCCCACCTAATGGTAAGCGGTTACCGTAGCCTATGAACGCCTGCAATACCAGGGGTATTACGCGCGCGTTGCCGACCCTGAAGAAACCTCTTTATTCCCTTTTTAAAGAACCCCATGCTGTAGCCTCTTGGGAAAACTTCGTCAGGGAGCTCATTCTATAACCTGAGTGTTCGTGGGAGAAAACTTCGCTGAAACCGTGTTGTGAGGGGGGAAAGGGATTGTTAGTAATAGAGACTAAGAATCCCATTGCTAGCAATATACCCAACCAGGTCGACCTCCTCGCGGTTCCCCCTGATAACTATCATGATTAATTCCAGATGAATTCATCATGATGGGCTAACTGGCCTGTTTTCATTCTCATCGATCACCCTTCACTGGTGCCCCGCCAGTGTATCCCGTTAGCGCAGGCGGGGTTACCATTCCGTTTTCATCCAATAAAAAAAACCGTGTTGTGCGCTACAAATTATGTTACACAAAGTAAGAAAGTTCAATAAGGAATTATTATGCAAATGCGATGCTCAGATGATGCGGATAATCGTTTTTCTGTCGGCAGGAAATTGAAAAATGCTCTTGAATTTATGTTCTGGGCATAATGTCCATACTAGATTATATGTATTTAGATAGAGCGTGAAGTGTAAGGAAACGTCCAGGCAATGTGCATTTAAATGTCTTTTTTAATGGGTGATAATGGAATGTAAGCCCACCTGCGTTATCGGTATACACCGGCGGGGCACCAGTGAAAGATGATAGGTGGTCATGAAGCAGATCAGTTAGCCCATCGTGACGAATTCAACAAGAATTGCTCACGATGGTTTTCAAGGGGAACCACGTGGAGGTCGATGTAATAGAGCTTATTGCTAGCAATGGAGCTGTCAAACTCCATTGCTAACAATTCCTTTGCTCTCCAACGAGCGTATTAGAATTAAAACGAGCCTCTCGCCGTCACTCGAATTAATTTGTTTTCTTATCAGAGTTTTCGATGACCAGGATTTTGGTGTCCACTGGAATTTTTGTTTTAAATTAAATTTTTAAACAAACATAAACAACTAATTTTTAACTTTAAAACAAAAACATAAAATTAAAAAAAAGCCTTTATTGAAATCGGTTGCAAAGTACTAGGTGAATATAAACAGTCAGAGATCTATGAAAAATTACTGGCTTCCCATTCAATTAAGGGGATAACAATAGATAGGTCATTACATTGCGTGGCACACATAAAAGTACGCCTAGTTAATGGAAAACCGAGTGCTTTCCGGTGGGTGTTTAAAATCAATTTGGTGGGCTTTATCTGATTATTGAGGAAATTGTTCGTTGGAAACGAAAGAATTTCTGATATTATATTATTGATAATGATTCGGTGATCGTTTGATTTTATGTGGCCGTTTTGACGTTATATTTGGCCTCGTTTCTGATCGGCTTCAAAAGGAAACCTCGTCGAGTTTCTATTCGACCTTTTTTTAGCTTTCTTTGAAGCGATTTTGATTACTCTTTTATTTAAATTGAAAAGGTTTCCCATATTGTTTCATAATGATTTTGTCGAAATATAAGCTTTTTAACTTACAATTTTAATAACAACTCACTTGAATGCATTATAAACCTGCCTTATATGTCCTTATATTTTTTCCAATTGCATTTCATTCATGTGTGGTCGCAGTTTGGAAATTATTAAGTTATAAAAATTTATGTCAAAAAATGAATTTCAGGACAGATTAGACAAAGCAGAAATCTGTGATAAGCATCCGATAGGCAGCATTAAATAATTAACGACTTGTCGAGTTATTAATAGGCACTCCGTAAGAAGATCCGCAGCGAGGAATCCGACGAGCCCTTGGGCAATTAAAGTATCAAGCAACTTGCCAACAATTACAAGTGAAATTGTTGTATAAAATATCGGGTTTTTATTGCTCTTTCCTCATTTTCGAGCAAAATGAAACTTAGTACATTATTATGGTATCCAGAGGAAGATTTTGTACAAAAGTCGTTTGCTTCAGTACCTCTGTAACCCACTTGTATTTCAACCGTGAAGCAGTTGTTTGCATGGCTGTGTTTCGATCTGAAGGGTGGGATATGGCAGAGAATTTACAGAGTACAGCATATACCTTAACCTTTAGAAATGGCAATGCATAGGGGGTATCATAGGCGAAACAGTGTAATCTGTTATGTTCATCTATTCATGTCTATAAGCGACGGTTACCACTTTCCATCAGGTGGATCATTAGCTTGTTTGCCATTCTAAGTTACATAAAAAAAAATATTAAGTATACCAAAAAATATTAAATCCATACATTAATTAAAGAAAAGTATGAAAAGCAGGACGACAATTTGGATTGAAATAAAAAAAATTTTTTATTGATTTTGAAATTTAGAATGACAAATAAGCTGACGGCCCACCTGATGGAAAATGGTAATTGTCGCCTATAGATGTGAACAGTACCAATTCAATTCAATTCAATTCAATCATTTATTGCTATTACATGTTGTAACAATATGAGTCTTAAGTTATTAAAAGTAAAGAGTCAACATGAACCCTGGAAGAGCGCAGCAATCACATTAATAAATATTTCATAAAGTATATAAATAAATTTTTACATTATATATATGTATCGTCGATTAACATAAAATAAATAAAACATTATTACATTGAAACAAATAGGTACAAATACAATTAATTTTTTTCATTGAAAAATTCCTGTAGCATATAGTACCATGGACATAACAGAGCATATTGTCTCGCTCATGGTACCCCTCACATGTTTTATGTTAAATCAGATTTTCTGTTTAAATTAAGGTTTCTTCCGGAACGGCAACGTGCACGTGACACCCTATTCATCAATTGATAATTACTAATTTCATGTGAAAATTTTGTTTTGGGAGAGGATTAATTTCTAATAGGAATTAGCTGTCCCATTGCTGCCAATATACCAAGCTAGTTTGACCTTCACGTAGTAAACTTATCGTGGATGAGTCTTGATGGATTCATCATTAACTAAAGTTTCATCCCAACCATCTGGACGAGTGGCGCTCTTCCACCGTGTGTTTTTCAAGGCACTTTCTTCCACGCACAACCACTCTTTGGAATCAACTTCCAGCAGTAGTATTTCCGAACCGATACGACATCATAACCTTCAAGAAAAGAACATATTCTTTTTTAAAAGGCCGGCAGCATGCCTGCAATGCCATTGGTGTTGTGGGTGATCATGGGTGGCATCACTTACCATCAGGTGATCCGCAAGCTCGTTTGCCCCCTGTATTATAAAAAATGGTCCAATCGACTCGCTTATCCTGTGAGGATGGACCACAGTATTCCATATTCAATTCAGATCCCCACCAGCATAAACTGACAGCGCAGATGGGGTCACAATTTCATTTTTATTCCATAAACTACTTCTTACCTTGTTGATAGCATCGATGTACGCTCCCTTCTCCAAGAGCAGTTCTACCAGGGCGGCATGACCAGCGCGAGATGCTAACGCCAAAGGTGCATCGCCAGCCGCGTCGCAACCCTGTACGTTGGAGCCTAGAGACAGCGCATACGCCGCGACGTCCAGCGATCCCCGGGAGCAAGCGCATTGTAGGAGGTCGTTGTGTTTCTGTACAAATAATTGCAAAATAATTGTTATTAAATAAACTAAAAAAAAATGTCTAGTAAAAGCAACTTACAATTGTGACAAAGAATTTTTTTTTATAAAATTATATTTTTTAATCAAATTCACATCTTCCCTCTTAAGGAAAGGAGATGGTAAACTAGCCTCCGGTAGAAGCACAATTGGCCGAGACTCAGGGCTCTAGGAAGAGAAACTGGCGTAAATTGCGCGCAGTATCTAAAAGCGCAGTAACCGCTTTTTGTATTTTTCCCGGGAGTGAACTGTCTGATGTGTTGTTCCGATCGTCTGAGGTGTTGTCGATGAACGGTCTTACCCCAGATTGGGGTAACACCGTTCGTCGACAGAATAATTGGAACGATTTCGGTAGATGCAACACCCACATTCTGGTTATCTCGTGAGCTAAGTCGAGATATTATTTTCTTTCCCAGTTTCGGCTTTCACGAGGTTCACGTCATGATATCTACCAAAAACACCCTCGAGAGTGCCCGATCTATTACCACTGAATTCCCTGTCGAAGTTTTCCCAAGAGAATACAGCATGGGGTTCTTCAAAAGGGGAGTAAAGAGGTTTCTTCAGGGTCGGCAACGCGCGCGTAATACCTCTGGTATTGCAGGTGTTCATAGGCTACGGTAACCACTTACCATCAGGTGGGCCGTATGCTTGTTTGTTACCTCTGTGGTATAAAAAAGAAAAGATATCAGGTTTGTTCGCAGGAACTGTCTAGACCGTAATGATGGATCGGTCCCAGTAGATCTCGACACTCATTTTTTATTATTGTCATTTTATTAGGTGTAATATTTTATATCGATTTATTATTCCATACAGATATGTATGTATTTTGAATGTAAGTAAATAACTTAAATACCTAAATAGTATTTATTTAGGTAAGTATAATTTCTTAGTAAAAATACCACAACCGTGCTGTTTCCTCTTTTTATTGTACGCACACTGCCCACTGACAATTAATGCTCTTTTCCACTCAAAATTTGCACGAATCTTGAATTCGAAGAACTCGTAGAGAATTTTAATAGACTTAAGCTCGCATGTTGTACTATTTATTCAAAATATATATATATATATATATATATATATATATATATATATATATATTGCCTATGCTGAATATAGATAGATAGATAGATACTCTTTATTGTTTCCTCCAAAAGATTACAATAGTAAACTTATTATAAATATAAACAATTACAAGAAATAATCACAATGAGAAAACAATGGGCGACCTTACCGCTAAGAGCGGTCTCTTCCAGGCAACCTTTGGATGAAGAGGAGTAATTATAAGCAATTTGGTGGGAGGCACAATGAAAAATTCTGTTAGTTCTAAATATGGGAGATGTGATACATATAATAATATAAATATTATCCCTACTTATTATTATAGGTCTTCCCTTATTGGGGAGTTTTGCTAATAATTACTATTACTAATATATATATATATATATATATATATATATATATATATATATATATATATATATATATATATATATATATATATATATATATATATATATATATATATATATATATATAGCCTAATAATTAGTGCTGAATTTCTGGTGTATTCTTCACGATGCGCTAACTGACCTGCTTTCTTCCTCACTGGTACCTCGCCAGCATATTCCGTAGTTAACGCAGGCGGCGTAACCATGCCATTTTCATCCATTAAAAAAAATCATTGTATTGTATTGTAAAATCTTTATTGTACATAATTCAAATTGAACACTAATAAATGATTTAATATACAATGGCGGAGTTATCCCATAAAGGGATCTCTTACAGTCAACCTTTGAGAAGCTGAAAGAAAACTGTAGAATGTATAAGGGTAATAACCGTACAATTAAAGATAAACTAAATAATACCCAGTAAAAAAAATTAGTATATAATACAATAAAAACAGCTCTATATACCTACATATGTAAATAATAAAAGTACATGAATAATATAACATTAATACATAAATAAATATATATATACACATATATATATATATATATATATATATATATATATATATATATATATATATATATATATATATATATATATATACATACACACATACACATATATAAACACATACATATATACATAACAAATACATAGATACATATATTCACAATTGGCTCAATGTAGAGGGATTTTCAGAATAAAATTTTATGATACCTGCTTTAAAGGTATTTGCTTTAAAAATCATCCTTCGATAGTGCTCCGCCAGTTTATACCGTTTGCGCAGGCGGGGTTGCCATTCCATTGTCATCCATTAAAAAAAATCCCTCAGTTACCCAGTAAACAACCGTATATATGCCACAAATCTGCACAGCTTAAGGGATTTACTGACACTACTCCACAGAGACTAGGGTTACTGTTCCGATATTTGAAAAACGGGATATTTACATAGCCGATTTAGTCACAAAATGAGATATTAAATCTTACATGCACCGTATGAATTCGTATCACATACAACGCCATCTAGTAAAAGTAATCCGAAATAGTAATTCCCGTACTAGATTATTTATTTTTTAGACGTATTTTTGATCCACTTCTGATTTACAAGGATCAAAACAAAAAAGAAATATTTAAATCGATTAATACGTTTTTGAAACTTGCAGCAACTGTTTTATATACATACAAATATATAATTTTATATTTTTAATAAAAATATAAAATAATAATCTGTTCAGGATTCGCATTAATGCGTTTTTTCTATACGATTTTTCAAACATCATGGCAATTACAAACACGACAAGAATTAGATTATCTAAATAAGCGTAGCGGGTTTAAGGTGATGCGTTGAAATACACTTGGCAAATAATTTTTATTTACAGGTTTTTAATGGCAAACTTTTATTTGTGTGAAGGTGGCGGCCTCTGGTATAAAGAGTTTATGGGCCGCTTTCATTACATACTAAGGCCTTGTCAAATAGCGCCATCTCGCGTCCTCGTAGGCACTAAGAGAATGACAATAATTTTAAAATGACTTTTGACTTCGAAACAAATAAGATTGTGTTCCACAAAAAAATTTTTAAAAAAAAATTCAATTTTGGCAAGACCAGTTATTTTTATTAAAAAACTAATCTACTCAACCGACTTTGATAAATTTCTATGGGATCAATTTGTAAATATATCCTTTCATATAAACAAAAAATATATATTCCAAATCAGATTACAACTAATGAGGTAATCAAAATAAAAAAAAGCCACCGAATTGAGAACCTCCTTTTTTTAAAGTCGGTTAAAAATCAAGCCGGTATATCCGGAGGAATCCGAACGGATGGTAACCCCAACGGAAACGCCTGTTGCAGACATGTACAGATTCACTTTGTTATATTAAATAATTTATGTTTACGGTTCTGACGTGTAATCGGTTCAACAATACGAGTATAATGCAGTGTAATGCTTTGTTCCTTAAATTATTATGTAAAATGTAATTAATATGTATTTATTTTTATGTATATGTATTTATATGTATGTATGGATTTATTTGAGTATGTATCAGTAAATTAAAATGTACATTTTCTCAAACATGCTTGGAAATGTGAGCATTATATTGACAATCTTCTTTGAGATAAATCAAAATTGCCGTACTGGCCAGATACATGCGGGCAGCGGCCGGCAAAAGTTGTATGAAAATCCATATCTGTCGTGTTTTGCGGCCAGATAAATTATTATGTAAACTCATATCTGTCCTGTAATTTAAAAATGGAATGATCTTTTACTTCGAAACATGGCTACCAAGGAGGTAACTTTTATTTAAATTTCGAACTGGCTTGCAAATAGAAAGCTGTTTATTGAAAAAAAAAAAACAAAGGAACATTAAGGCGCGTGAAAAATTATTATTGTTCGTTATTCGTCATTGAATTTAAAAAGTAAAATTGCGTTTTTGATTTCCGCGCATTGTTTAAGAAAAGTACTATACAAGCCTTGGCCACAACTAGGCATTGATGGACTCACGTATGTGTGCCTCGGCTGCGCCTTGGCCCACATTTGCACGTTCATCCATCAATGCCTCCGTTGCTGGCCGCTGCAGTAATGTACTATAATATATCCACATTACTGTATGTATGCATAAAAAACGAACAGAGTTTCGTGCCTCCAGTCAAACTGTTTATAATTACTCTTCCCCATCCAAAGGTAGCCTGGAAGAGATCGCTCTTAGCGACAAGGCCGTTCATTGTTTCCTCAGTGTAATATTTTCTTATAATTGTTCGTATTTATAATAAGTTTACTGTTGTAATCTTATGGAGGAAACAATAATGAGTATATCTATCTATCAATACCATGGCCATATTTGTTAATATATACATAAGTGAGGGCGTGGGATGGGTAGCAGCGTCCCTCTTAAAACATCTCCAAAGCCTAACTGCGGTTACCAATCTGCCTGCCAAGCGTTACAACTATTGGCAAAACCTCCCAAGGGGAGGCTTATGCCCAGCAGTGGACAAATAAAAGCTGATATAATGACGATGATGATGATGTTGATGACATTAATATATTAATTGTTATGTCCACGGTACTGCTCATGTCTATAGGCGACGGTTACCACTTTCTATCAGGCCGGCCGTCAGCTTATTTGCCATTCTACCATCATCATCATATCAGCTGTTGTTTGTCTACTGTCGAACACAGGCCTCTCTCATAAATTGTCATAAGGAACGGTCCTGGGCTACCTGCATCCACTGACTTCCTGCAATTCTAGGTTGCGATTGTAATCTACATAAAAAAAAAAACACCTTAGTCCTTAGAAATTACAATGCATGTAGGGTGTCATAGGTGATGACACATTATACTCTGTGATGTCCATTTCGTAGTTCCTGACTATAGACGCCAGTTACCATTTATAAAGTTGGGCTGTGTGTGTTTTTCAACATCGCAGTTCAACACAAAACCGCTTTATTATAAACGAAAGTCTTTATTTTTTAACTGCAAATGGATTATTAAAATGCAATCCATTAAATATAATATCTAATGTTATTTTATAAAAAATATAAAAAAAATAAAAATCGATTTATATTTTTTTTATAGGTACCAGTAGCGTAGGTACAATACTTATTGTTCCTAATTTAAACGCGCTTACTCTTATTATATTTTAGCGGGAAATATTGGCGGGAATTCTATTTCTATCATAACAACCTTATAGATGGAATTTTGTAGAGGCAAACTAAAAATACATTATTTTATTCCATAATATCTATTGTATTCGATTCAACAAAATATTATCCTTCAATATTTTTTATGATAGACATTTTATTAGAGTTGAAATAAATACCGAAAGCCCATATAATAATATTTTGTTAATACCTGATGTTACCAAATACATAACAGACAATAATATATTAATTTAATCATATTTATCGTGATTATAATACAAAATAAAGCACGATTATTATAATAGTGGATAGGCTGAAGTGGCAGTGCGCTGGTCACATAGCTTGTAAAACCTACAACCGATGGGGAAGAAAGGTTTTTGAGTGGCAACACTGTACGGGTAAACACAGTGTAGGTTTGTAATGGGAAGGTTAGTCGCCATCGCTATCAATATACTTTATCAGGTCGACCTTCACGCGGTTCCCCCTGGAAACTATCGTGACTAATTTATCGTTGAATTCGTCACGGTGAGCTAACTGACCTGCCTTTTCATCCACACCAATCATCTATCACTGGTGCCCCGCTGGTGTATACCGATAGCGCAGGCGGGGTTACCATTACCACAGATAATATAATACTATGCCATTACATTATCATCCATTAAAGAAAACGCAGTGTAGGACAATACCCCACTAGATGGAGTGACGATCTCAAATGCATTGCAGAGAGTCAGAGGATGTTAAGTGGACAGATAATGGCTGAGATGATGATTATAATAATCCTGTTATATAGATAGATAGTTATATAATAGATATAAAAATAAATTAGTATATTGAATTAGTACTTGGACCAATAGAAAATAGCAACCTCGGCATTATATATATATTCATTAGACTAATATGAGGCAGTTGATTAAACTTTGTTTTATCCATGCTATGTTATACACAAACATGAAACTGTAATGTGAGCCATCATACAATCTGTATCTATTTCTTTCTTTTTATCGTGCTTGTTTGACAAAAATGTATAATGTATTTATATTGGGTATCCATCTAGGGTAAAATACCTTATTAGTAGCTGCAAGACAGGCACCTGCAGCAACGAGGGTTTTTACAGCTTCGAGATGACCATGCCACGCTGCCATTAGCAATGGGCGCATTCCGAACTGCAAATAAAAATTTTCGACATCTTTAGACGCTATGTTAGCCTGGTACTTCACGAATTTTATTATTTGAAAAAAAAACAACTGTGGACTATTTTATTTATACTATATAATTTATACTATATAAGTACAAGTATTAAAATAATTAATGTTTTGAAAAATTTAATTAATTTTTAATTTACTATAAATGGAAAATATTCTTAAGTCATGGTTGACTTGAAATAAGATTATGATCCACAAAAATGGCGACTTCAGTTGCGGCAGAATTAGTTACTTTGATAGAAAACTGAACTACTAAAACGATTTGATAGGCTTTCCATGGGGCTAGTCTGTAAGTAAAAACTTTTAGATATAAAAGTTAATTTTCTAAATTAGTTACCAACTTACAGAGTAAGTCGCCTCGATTGAAAAATATATAGATATTTTTTTGTTTTCATTTTGTATGAATGACCACGCGTTACGTTTCACGGTGTAGGCCGATTTGGTAAACTTTTTTTTAAAGATTTATGATTAGAAAATTAGTTGTATTGTTTCTATTCAAATAAAATTATGGTTATTTTAAAACATTTACCAGAGGGAGACTTTGTACAAAAGTCGATTGCTTGGGTACCTCTGTCCCATTCGTGTTTCAACTGTGAAGTAGTTGTGTTTGCATGGCTATGTTTCGGTTTGAAAGGTGGGATATGGTGTGAATTTACTGGGTACAGAGGAACAACACCTGAGTCCTCAGGAATGGCAACGCATGGAGGGTATCATGGGCGAAACAGTATACTCTGTTATATCCATGGTACAGTTCATGTCTTTAGGCGACGGTTACCACTTTCCATCAGGTGGGCCGTCAGCTCATTTGCCATTCTAAGTTATATAAAAAAAAACATGTTTTATAAGCACTGTTATACATTTGTTATATATCCCATCATTATCATAACAATTAATTTGTTAGACTAATACTTAAATAATTGATTCCGTTCATCATGAACAATCAAATTTCATTACAATGATAAAATATTCATAATTATGTGTAAACAATCGGATATTACCTTATCAGCTGCTTCAATATCGCATTTCGCTTCAATGAGTAATTTCATTATGTCGACGTTTCCTCTGCTTGCGGCCCAATGGATCGGTGCTCTGCCATACTGAAACAATATTGCTAGTTAAGACATATCGAACTACTTACCATAAACAGCAGAAATTGCTAAATCTATTATTTGTATTGCTATCTACGATAATATATTCTCTTTAAAAAAGCGGTATTCGATTTAGAGTAATTGGTTTATAAACTAATAGAAGAGGCAAAATGCTGGCCCACCTTATACGACTTGACGATTTTTTAAGAGCATAGAAGAAGGAAAGATAGAGGGCAAAAGAGGAAGAGGAAGACCGAGGATTAACTACATGGGACAGATAAAGGAAACACTAGGCGTCATGTCGTATAGGGAGATAAAGGATATGGCCTGGGATAGAGCTGGCTGGAGGAAGATGCATGAATTAGTTGCACCGACAAGAGGAACCTCTTAAATGAAAAGAGAAAGGTTTATAAACTATGTTTTTTTTTTTTAATATGTCAACTTTTCGATATTTCTGTCTGACTATAGTTATATAAATAATAATAATTTGTATTCGAATATCATGGTATGTACAAAACAAGCAGAGTGTAGGGCTGTCCCAAACAAGTCTCTGTGGTGTTTATACCACAAAAAGTTGTTTGGGACAGCCATACATTTTGTTTAACTGGTTTGTTAGTTTGGTTTTATAGTGAAAATAAGTGATTTAAAAATAGATTATTTTTTTAAATCATCATCATCCGCCATAAAGGGGATTTTGCTAGTAGTTATCACGCTTTGCAAGCGGGTAGACAACTGCAATTAGTTTTATTCGCTATCAAGACACTTTTTATATATCAGCCGTTAACTGTCCCCTGTTTTTTTTTTAATGGATGAAAATTGAATGGTAACCCCACTATCGGTATACACCGGCGGGGCACCAGTGAAGGATGATAGGTGAGGATGAAGTAGGTCAGTTAGCCCATCGTGACGAATTCAACAAGAGTTGTTAACGATGGTTTCCAGGGGGAACCACGTGGAGGTCGACCTAATAAGGTATATTGCTAGCAATGGGGCTGTCAAACTCTATTGCTAACAATCCTTTTCCCCTAACTATTTAACTGTCCCCTGTTGAACATAGCCTCCCCCATAAGGAGAGTTTTACCAGTATTGCCACGCTTGGCAGGCGGTTTATATAATTATAACATTAAATTACATTAAAAAATAACCAGTACTGTCACAATCGAAGTCGGTTTTTTTTTTGGGAACACACATTTTTTATTATAATAATATTTTTTAGAAATCTTAAAGAAATACCAATTGGTGCAAATTGATCCAAAATGGAGCAAGAATTAATCTTGAAAGGCGTATTGTACAGACATCTCTATATATGAGGGAAAACAATATGATTTTATGTGAAGCGTGAACTCGTCGTGGCAATTTCATTTATTGCTTGTCAGAATCAAAGCCGCCTTCTGGTATTATTACACGTGTAAGGCGAAACAGTTCGTTGATATAATCATCGATATAAGATAAGTAGGAATCATCATCATATCAGCCCCTATTTTTTTTTATACAACTTAGAATGGCAAACAAGCTGACGGCCCACCTGATGGAAAGTGGTAACCGTCGCCTATAGACATGAGCAGTACCATGGACATAACAGAGTATACTATTTCGCCTACGACACACTTCATGCGTTGCCATTCCTGAGAACTCAGGTGTTATTCCTCTGTACCCTGTAAATTCACTGCAATATCCCACCCTTTAAATCGAAACACAGCTATGCAAACACAACTGCTTGTGGATAGAAACACGAATGGGACAGAGGTGTCTAAGCAAACGACTTTTGTACAAAGTCTCCCTCTGGTAACTATGTTCTCTTGAACACAAAGTTAATAAGGGAGGTTTTATATGTAGTTGTCAAGCTTAGCGGGCGGATTGAAAACCGCAGTTTTTTTTTATGGGTGAAAATGGAATGGTAACTCCGCCTGCGTTAACAGGATACGCTGGCGGAGCACCAGTGAAGGGTGATTGATGATAATGAAAACAGGCCCGTTAGCCCATCATGATGAATTCTTCAGGAATTAACCATGATAGTTTCCAGGGGGATCCGCGAGGAGGTCGACCTGGTTGGGTATATTGCTAGCAATGGGATTCTAAGTCTCTATTACTAACAATCCCTTTCCGCCCTGACAACCGCAGTTAGGCTTTAGTGACGTTTTGAGAAGGACGCTGCTGCGCGTCTTTCAATTATTGAGTTACCTTAGTCGCCTCTTACGACACTCACGGGAACGAAATGAGTGGCTTATTCTATACTAGAATCATATGCAATTTAAATATAATTGCTTACGACTATATTATAAAACTGCAACTACATGATGTCTGTACATAGGATATAAAAAAAAATTATATAAAAAAAAACCTAAAACAACAGCCGCTTATATCAGAGGGGTCGACCAAATTAATAGCAATAGAACTTGAAAACATATAAAGATTGATGAGTGTGGAAGAAGCCGCTAGACTGAATATGTATGTATGTTTATGCTCTTTTGAGGGCGAAGCTGTTGTTAAAGCAATAAACTGAGTTGTGACCATTTTGTATTGTTATGGCACACGCATAATTGCAACAATTGTACTTGGCTTTATGTATTTTTTTTTAATCATTTATCTTATCTCGCTTTTTATGTATATACATGTATATGTTAAAATTTGTGTGCTGTGTAAGTAATGCAAATAAATTATCTATCTATCTATCTATCTATCTATCTATCTACCTACCTATCACAACAATACGACAACAATATAATTAAGTATCTTTTGATAATATAAATTCCTTTGTAAGCTCCGACGTAAAGGACTTACGATGAATTTTCAGGTTAATTAGATACACGAAACACGATAAAATCACTTTATAATATATATCATTTAGATCGTATTTTAGTAAATTAAGAATGTTGTTTAAAAAAATATATATATTATTCCGCGAAAAGTAAAGCAAAAACAAGCGATTACAGTGTAATAAGAAAATACATTAAACATTAATGCGGATCGCTCCCGGGCACCGAAATATATTAAGTTTCCTTTTTAATAACGCTTTCTTGTTCGCTAACGTTTTAAATTTTAACAATGCCAACAGACGCGCGATAGAATTCGAACCATAGATAAAGTTAGGTACTTCATACGCGTGGATTTCAGAAGTAATGAAATCATAAACGAAAAATGAAGTGGACTGCTTCTAGATGGTATATTAAGGTAAAACCTTATTTTATATAGATAGAGTATCGAGCCACAAAAACCAGTAAATTTTTGTCAGCTAATTAAATACACATAAATCAAACATACACAATAAGTAAAAAGAGATAAAAGAATGAAATACAAAAAAGTAAAAAAAAAAAAACAAAATATATAAAACAACAATTTTCTTCTTTCATGCGTGTGGCATAGTAACACAAAATGGTCACAACTCAGTTTATTGCTTTGCCTTTAAAAGAGTAAAACACTGATATTCTGTTGTGGCCAAGAGTCAGTCGCGAAATTCCTTAATAGAAATAATTATTAGAGTTGTGAATGTACACAAAGCAATGTCTACGTCAAATGTGTGACCAATTTTTACGTGTCTTTTATTTGTCGATAGGCTTTCAGGCGAGAATTATTATTTTGTACCAATAGAAGTTGGGTTTTTTATGGACCGAATATGTATTTTATGTTCCGTTTATTAAACAACATTTTCAACTGACACCAAAGGTTTTCAATTTAGTTGTATTTTTTTGTATCTTTGTTGCCTCATAACTCCGTCAATTGGGAACCGATTTGGGCGATTCCTTTTTTAACTGAAGAAATATACTTACAGATTGGTTCTATGGAACTTTTATCAAAATCGGTTCAGTAGTTTTGAAATAAAAATAACTAACTTTTAAAATTAACAATTGAAATTTTTTTTTTTTTTTTGACAGACATATTTAAATATCGACCCCTGGATTAAAGTTTGATTTAAGATACCGTTCTACAAATTGTGTGAGACCAACATGGAATTAATTCTTGTAAAAGAACCATCGAAATTGTTACAGAATTAGTGAAGATATCGTGCAAAATACCCATAAATAGCATAATCTCTTCTTTATGAAGTCGATTGATTATTTAACATGTACCTACTTACCACACACGAGAAACAAGATCACGTGATATCTTGGGATGTAATTAATTCAAATTTATCCGATCTAATTCATTTAAGAAACGTTTATTTATTAATAACTAGCGACCCTTCCCGGCATCGCACGGGTAGACATTTTTACATTTTAAAAAGTGGGCCATCAAGGCTGCACATGCGATAGAAGCTTAAAAATGGAGTAACATCTCCCGTTTCCCCAACATTTCCCTTCACTGCTCTGCTTCTATTGATCGTAGCGTGATGAAAAGTATACTATAACCTGCCCAGGAGTATGAAGAATAATTGTATCAAGTTTCGTTAAAATCCGTCGAATAGTTTTTGTTTCTATAACGAAATACAGACAGAGAGACAAAAAATTTACTGATTGCATTTTTGTCATCAGTATCGATCACTAATCACCCCTGATAGTTATTTTGGAAATATATTTCATGTACAGAATTGACCTCTCTACAGATTTATTATAAGTATAGATAGATATAAATTGTAACAACAGACCCTTGTCTTTATTTTAATTATTTATTATTTCATCGTGATATAAGAATGTTTATTACATTATCAGATCAATAGAATTACGTTGAGTGATCGCTCACAAGACAATTTTAAAAATAATATATGTGGGATAGGTATGAAACGGAACGTATGTCAAAAGTGAATGTTGTATGCATAGATTGGAATACGAGGAAGGATGACTGATGTGGAGTGAAGTGAGGAACGGTGGGGGAGTGAGAGATCAAGATGGACGACAAATGAACGAGAGTGTGGCTCCTACGAATTATTTCTAAGATTTAGTTTTACAATTATATAAAAGTTGAATCGCTTGTGTAAAAAAGGAATTTTATTTCTGGCTCCTTGGACCTACATATATTTAATTCTTTTAAATAATTTTACCAGAGGGAGACCGTACAAAAGTCGTTTGCTTGGGTACCTCTGTACCATTTGTGTTTTTACCGTGAAGCAGTTGTGTTCTTTTTAATGCATGATTATGGTATGGTAACCCCGCCTGCGCTATCGATGTACACTGGCGGGGCACCAGTGAGGGATGGTAGGTGAGGATGAAAGGGAAGATCAGTTAGGCCATCGTGATGCAATCGACGATAAATTAGTCACGATAGTTTTTAGGGGAACCGCGTGCAGGTCGACCTGATAGGGTATATTGATAGCAATGGGGACTAACCTCCGCATTACTAACAATTCCTTCCTCCAAGCAGTTGTGTTTGCATGGCTGTGTTTCGGTTTGAAGGGTGGGATATGGCAGTGAATTTACAGGGTACAGGGGAATAACACCTGAGTCCTCAAGAACGGCAACGCATGAGGGGTACCATAGGCTAAACAGTATACTCTGTTATGTCCATGGTACTGCTCATGTTTATAGGCGACGGCTACCACTTTTCATCAGGTAGGCCGTCAGCTTGTTTGGCATTCTAAGTCACATAAAAAAACTTATCTATCAAAATAAATAATGCTATTTGTGAATAAATACGTATTATCTATACGTATTTACAAAGAATTATTTCGTTCAAAAACAATCATGCTTTACAACATTTATGCACCATCACTAAAGTGCTCACGTGCTCTTCGCGTCGAAAAGCTAAAACTTCTGAATAACCCATCAGCGATACGCATCTCCCTTAATTTTTTAAACATAACCCAAAGTCATATCTCTAGGGTATTTTTTATTTTCAACCGACTTCAATAATAGGAGGTTCTTAATGTTGTTTTGTCGTATTTGAAGTCTATATCTTTGTAGAACTCAATTTAATTAATTTATGTATAACAAGCGGCAAAGAAAAATTTAACTGTCGGTATCTCTATTGATTGAAATTATAATGTATTCGCCTGTATATATATTTTTTTTTTATATGAACGCAATACGATATCTGTCCTAATTCGAGAGCTATTTTAATAATTTGCTTTGTAATTGATACGCTTGGTTGCTTACTAATTTTGTCATACCTTAACTCTGTTTGTGAAATAAAATCCTAATTTTTTATGCAATTTAGAAAGGCAAGCTGACGGTCCACCTTTTTTATATTTTTTTTTTATACCACTGAGGTGGCAAACAAGCGTACGGCCCACCTGATGGTAAGTGGTTACCGCAGCCTATGAACACCTGCAACACCAGAGGTATTACGCGTGCGTTGCCGACCCTGAATAAACCTGTTTACCCCCCTTTTGAAGAACCCCAACAACTTAGAATGGCAAACAAGCTGACGGCCCACCTGATGGAAAGTGGTAACCGTCGCCTATAGACATGAACAGTTAATATTCTAATATCTAAACAAAAACTTTGTACCCTTTTTTACGAAAACTGCGCAAATGGAGAAGTATAAAATTTCACACACTTATAGTTTATATAGAGAAGGAGTGCAAAATATATATTTTTTTTAATTTTACCTAAAAATACATTAAATCAATAAAATAAAAATACACACACACTGCCATGTATTTAAAACATACACATATACGAGTACTCTTTAGTTTATTGTTAGTCTGTGGTCAAACTGAGAGTAGATTAATATTGTTTGTCTAATAGTCTTACTAAATATGAATAAATAATATTTTGACAAGTATATTTTCATTATAGAACTATTGAGGACAGAAGGGGAAAAATGTTAGGACACTTGATACGACACGACGAACTTATGAACATTATAATAGAAGGTAAGATAGAAGGAAGGAGGGGGAGAGGGAGACCGAGACGTAGTTACATCAGGCAGATCAAGGAAGGAGTTGGTGTCGTGTCGTATCAAGAGGTGAAGAGACTCGCTGAAAATCGTAGTGAGTGGCAAGAGCTCCACCGACAAGAGCGCAGCTCTTAAATGGATAGATAGATATTTTCATTAACACGTTCACGCCGGCGCGGACCACCGGGTGGCCCCCGCTAGACTGTCTCATTGGACGGCACGTACCACCGGCGGTACGCAATAGATTGCCCTATCTGGCGGCGCGTACCACCGGTGGCCCGCACTAGACTGTCTTTTCTGGCGGCGCGTACCACCGGTGGTACGTATTCGATGATGAAGCGTAGCATCAAATAGAGCGCCGCCTCGCAGCAAAAAACAATAAAGTCGGCCCCGGCGTGAACGTGTTAATAGTATAGTATAGGTACCGTTTATTATAATAATAATATATTTATTTATGTCTCCTCACAAGCAACTTAAATTTACACATAGGTATTTAGGATAAAATAAAATTAAAATAATATGGATTCAGTTAGTCAGTTACGAATATGAAGATTTTAAATGTTTGCATGTTTGGTATTCAATCATACTTAAATGGCTGAATAGATTTGGATAAAATTTGATACATGGACAGACTATATCCTAAAAAATATATATATATGTTATTTTTTATGTCAATTCACATAGTCAAAGCCGAGAAAAACAACTAGTAGTTTATTGATGTAAATATAGCTACAACTTACATTATTCCTGCAGTTGACGTCTGTTGGCCTCTGCAATGCTTCTATGACAGCGGCTGGTTCATTTTTGATGACGGCCTCGTGAAGTAGTAGATCGTTTTGCTGCACACGCGACATCTGTCAGATCGCCAATATTATAAAATTATGACATAGCATTGAGAACGTTAGAGTTATATTCTCGTTAGAGTTATAATTATTATTGACAATGTTGCTGTGGTTTACAATAGTATTTGTTTGTTTAATTTTGTTTATATTTGTTTAATTTTAGTATTGTCTAATTTTGCGTTTCGTTTACTTGTATTTTATTTTGTGCAAATTCTAGTGGCTACCAAATTACTATTTAATTATATAATTATGTATTATTTTATAATAGCTGTTTGTTTGCCTTAAATAAATAAATAGTTTATCCTAAATCTTGAAATAAAAAAGAAGACCTGATCTGGGAAATTTGTAATCTCATTAGGTACTTGCAGCATTGAAAAATGGCGTCTTGTTTTGATTAAAAAAAAAAGTGTTAGCTTCCAGCTGACTAAATTTATGATATAACTTTGTATATAATACTATTGGTGAAGTTTGACGCCTGGTTAAAGAATTAGACTGGACTATTCAACCACATTAAGAAGTCTTTAGTACTTTATGATAATATTCCAAAGAAAGATGTAAATCGTCTGCCTATCTACGAAGAATAAATAGAAACGTCGCCTGGAATCTACAGTTTATTTATTAAGAAGACTCATGTAGGTATATTGTGTAAATAACTTTACGAAAGATATAAATTATCTATCTATACATGAAGAGAGAGTAAATATAAAGAAAATGTTTCGCCTGAGAAGACATGTATTAACTGAGTACACTGACCCTTGGTACTTTCAATTCTTACAAAGATCTATGTAAATTACGGATGAAACAATTTTTTCCTTATTTATGAAGAACTAATTGTAAATTATGTTTGGCTGTATGAGCCATGCTCTTTGCCTTTTCGATTTAAGACACATTTTAAAACAACAACAACAAGCATTTTTGATATTCGATATTCCAACTATATAGTATAAGGTCTTATTATGATTATGAATGGTTTAATTTCAACGTACATAGACCAGTATGACTTTCTCCAAGAAATTATATTCCTCAAGGAAAATATTTAGTTTTAAATGTTCAACAAATTAAAGATTGTGGCCCACAAAAAAAAATACAATTGTATCAAAACTAGTTTTTTTTTTTTTATTTAAATAAAATTTCTGTGGTACCAATCTCTAAGTACACTTTTGAGTAAAAAAAAATTTCAAATCGTTTTAGAACTAAAGGAGTTATGAGATAATGAACATAAAAAAATACATTCGTATTGAGTACCTCTGAATTGAGTTTCTATTCGAAACATAAAATGTTTTCCTAGTTTTAAAACAAAACTTAAGGTTTTTTTTTACAACTTAGAATGGCAAACAAGCTGTAATCGGTTTTTTTTTTGGCACACAATTATAACTACGTCATTAGTCAGGCATTAGTATGTATACCATTCTAAAGAGCATAAAAATATTTAAAAAAATAACAACTCGACACATGATAAAATTCACTAAACATTTTTGTAACACTAAAAATCGTATAAAATCCTACCTCGCGAACCGTCTCCCTGAATAAAACATGGCGCACAAAAGTTTTAACACGTTCAGGTATTTACATGCGCAATAAACCGAAAGTAGAACACCTAGCTTACCCCTTTTGTTTATTTAATTTGAATTTCGAATCTCAAAAGATTTTGTTTAGAGTTAGTCGTAATGGCGGAGTATAAGGGTGGAACGTACTAAACAGAAATTTTACTGACGTAAATCTTCACAACTTTTCTCAAAGATCACCTTCTTGAATCTTTTTCAATCAACTTCGAAAAGGAGGAGGTAGATAGATAGATTATTGTGTCCTCCAAAAGATTACAACAGTAAACTTATTATAAATATAAACAATTACAAGCAATAATCACAATGAGAAAACAATGGGCGACCTTATCGTTAAAAGCTATCTCTTTCAGGCAACCTTTGGATGGATAAGTATGCTAATCCGACAAATAAACAAATTAAAAAGATGACAACTTGCTCAAATAAAAATTCTTAAGTTTTGTTTTAAAACTAGGCAGACATTTTATGTTTCGAATAGAAACTCAATTCAGGTACTCAATACGAATGTATTTTTTTATGTTCATTACCTCATAACTCAGTTAGTTCTAAAACGTTTTAAAAAAATCCATTTTTGAATCAAAAGTGTACTTTTGGTACCACAGAAATTTTATCAAAATAAAAAAAAATCTAGTTTTGATACAACTGAAGTTAGTTTTTTTTGTGGGCAGCATAAGGAGACTTTGTACAAAAGTCACCTTATGATGCCCCCTTGGGTACCTCTGTCCCAATCGTGTTTCTACCGTGAAATAGTTGTGTTTGCATGGCTGTGTTTCGGTTTGAAGGGTGAGATATGGCGTGAATTTACAGGGTACAGAGGAATAATATCTGAGTCCTCAGGAATGGCAACGCATGGGGGGTATCATGGGCGAAACAGTATACTCTGTTATGTCCATGGTACTGCTCATATCTATAGGCAACGGTTACCATTTTACATCAGGTGGGCCGTTAGCTTGTTTGCCATTCTAAGGTGTATAAAAAAATACACTTGAGGTCGTCATTCCATCAATTGTGGGCGGAAGGAAGGGGAAAGGGGAGTTTCCCTATACTGCGTTTGATCGTACGGGATCGTCACTCAAGAACTTTCTTCTAAAATTCAAAAATTCAAAATTCAAAAATCATTTATTCATGTAGGACATTTTAGCGGCTTATGAACGTCAAATCTTCATCGATGAATTCTTCATCGATTGTCGGTTCTTCGAGCTATGTAACCAGCCTATTACCACTTTAGCTGTTGCCTCTTTTGCGGATATCCACGTTTCGGATTCTGTTACGCAAAGAAACTCAAAGCATAGCTCTCTCCATAACCAGCTGAGTTATTTGAAGCTTTTGCATACGGGCAAATGTGTATAACTATGTTTCGGTTCCATGAGTTAAGTTCCTACTCGATTACTTATTTTATTTCTTTCTTTATTCTTTATTGTACACAAAAGGTTATTGAAATGTAAAAACAAACATAATTGTGCACAAGAGCGAGCTTATCTCCAATAGAGATTTCTTCCAGCAAACCCAATATGAGAAAACTGACAGTTCATTAGTAGTTACAGTCACACATGTGTACCAATCGACTTAAATGTTATAGTTAAAACTAAATAAATAAATAAATTGTATTTACAATTAGATTTAGATTTAGAAAAGACTCAATAAGAGAGTATAAACACTAACTTAGTAAGTCAATTAACGAATTTATATCACTCTGAACTAGTAATCTGCTATCGTATCTTATTTTTCGCATATGGGGTCAGCTAAGCACGTCGACCCATACGGATCTTTTGTGCTTCCCCCTGCCTTATACCATCATTTCGTAGATCCTGTGTTACCCTAATGATATCCCGCGGTTTACAGATATCTGTAGTCCCCTGGTTCTGGATAAGCCGTTCCCAGTAGACTCATACGCATACTTGCCAACGAATCGCAGGTGCACATCAAGTGTTCCATGGATTCCGATTTCTTCCCGCACAGTCTGCACAGTGTGTCCGAAGATAGACCCATCTTGTGTAGTATATGCCTTATTGGCATATGTCCAGTTAGGGCACCCACAATGAGTCTAGTAATCTACTAACTAATCATCCAAGCGGTTGGGAGAAAATAAAATTCTCATTTCGAATGAAAGTGACAACCCTTTGTTAAAAATGATGCTCCGTTTCCATTGTTCTCTTAGGAAAGGCACAATTATCACGTCGCCATTTGTATGGCTTCATATTCATTATATCCTAGTACGTGGAAGCAGTGTTTAATTGAAAACTTACTTTTGACTTATTTGATTAAGCTGTATTCACGTACCTCGTTGCCATATCGTGATGTTTTATGGACTAAAACTAAACATTTTTTTTATACAACTTAGAATGGCAAACAAGCTGACGGCCCACCTGATGGAAAGTGGTAACCGTCGCCTATAGACATGAGCATAACATAACAGAGTATACTGTTTCGCCCATGATACCCCCCATGCGTTGCCATTCTGAGGAATCAGGTGTTATTCCTCTGTACCCAGTAAATTCACGCCATATCCCACCCTTCAAACCAAAACACAGCCGTGCAAACACAACTACTTCACGGTTGAAACACGAATGGGACAGAGGTACCCAAGCAATCGACTTTTGTACAAAGTTTCCCTCTGGTGAGATATATATAAAACCCTTAGATTATATAGATAGAGCTTCGAATCTCAAAAACGGGTCAACTTTTTGTCAGCTAATTTTCAAATTAGCTGACTCGTTTTGTTTATCAGTGTTCTATATATTCACGCACACAACGTGTCTATATTTATTTATTTAGTAAACAAAATGTGTTTTAAACAATAAAAAGATGCAAAAATTATAAGACAAAATAAATATAGAAGTTATAAAGGAATCACTCATAACTATTTATCATGCAAAATTGTATGAAAAAGTCCACCAGTTTTTCTTCAAGCGTTTGTATGGAGACACTCTATCTATATAATCTAAGATATAACTTTTCTCAAAGAATGTGCTCTCATTCTCTCATTCTCAATTCTCAAATAATACAATTTTTTTTTTAATCTAACTGGCAAGCCTAGATATTATTATTATTTATTATGAATTTCAAATCTTGTGTGTAACATTAAAATAAAACCTGTTTTTCATAAAGCTTTAAATATGTTAACTTTTATTTGTTTTCTTACATTTTTTATAGTGGTCTCAAACTTTTGACTGGCAGTGTAAATAGATAGACAAGTAAACAGGCAAAATTTCTATAAATTACTGTTTTGACGTCTATTGATCTTATTAAGAGCACAAATAATAATTTTCAATTACACAATTTTTTTTTTATTAAAGCTAACAAACATTAATACAATATATAATTATAATAAGTTTACATTTAAATGTGATTAATAGTACTAGCAACAATGTTAACTACAGATTGCTATATAAAGAAAGAAAGTATATAAACATGCATATTTCCCATTATATCTATAATTAAATTATAAAT